TGGGCTTCGGGACGCGGGATGGAGGTCAGCTGGCAACACTTGGACGCCTGACCCACAACCTCTGTCTCAGACTCAGCCTTTGTTCTCCCACAGGCCCTGAGCACGTGCCAACTAAGGCACGCCATCGCCCTCTGGCAGCTGCTGGCCGCTCACAAGTCCGAGCAGCGGCTGCGGCTGAATAAGGTGAGGCTGGAATCGGCCGTCCTGGGCTCAGAACACACTCTCTGCCCCTGCTGCAGTGCCCACCCCACCTCACCCCTCACCCCTGCTGCAGTGCCCACCCCACCTCACCCCTGCTGCAGTGCCCACCCCACCTCACCCCTGCTGCCCTTCTCTCCCACACCAGGATCCCTTTGTGGACATCGACCTGAGGTACCGGAAGGAACTCAGCCCCACAGATGCGCAGGTGCTCGGTGCTTACCTGAAGCAGGGGAGCCTGGACGCCTTCCTCCTGGAGCTGCACGAGATGATGGTCCTCAAACTCAGGGCTCTGCCAGGCGAGGCCAGCTTCAACCCTGCATGGAGGTGGGCACGGAGCGGGACCGGGGTGGGCATAGGACGGGCACAGGCAGCCCACTGCCTCTCCCCACCTCCCAGATACCAACACACTTCCTCCCCTGGCAGGGATCCCACGTCCTGCTGGTGTTAACAGTTGATAAAGCCATGTAGTCTTCTGACAGGTACACGCCCGGTGGCTCTCGTTTGAAAGTAGGTCAGGAGAGCCCTTCCATCTGCTGGTCCACGTCTAAGGGCCGAGGCAGGAACCAGAGCTCCATCCAGATCTCCCATGGTCCAGCAATGTGAAACTGGGCCACTAGGTGGCAGGGCCAAGCCCTGGAGCACCTGCTGCCCCCAGGGGCACGTTAACAGGAAGCTGGAACAGAGCGCAAGGTCAGGACTTGAACCTGGGTCCTTGGAAATGAGGCAGGTGCCCAAATGGTGAGCCACACGCCACCCTCCAGTGTGTATTCTGAGGGGCCGGCACTGTGGCATAGCAAGAGAAGTCTCCACTGGTAGCACCAGCATCTCACAGTGATGCCCGTTGAGTTCCGGCAGCCCCGCTTCCCACCCAGCTCCCTGCTGCTGGCCTGGGAAAGCAGTGGAGGACGGCCTGAGTCCTTTGGAGACCCGGAAGAAGCTCCTGGCTCCTGGTTTCAGGTCAGCTCAGCTCTGGCTGTTGCGGCCATGTGGCAAGAGTCTGTCTCCTGCTCTCTTGCGACTCGATTTTCAAATAAAAACAAATGAATCATTTTTTAAAGTTTATTTTGGAGCAAAAGCTCCACGCACATTCTTTTTCCATGTCCTTTCTGAAGACCCACACATGGATTTAAAAAAAACTTTTTTTTTTTTGCACTACAGTAAACTTTAGTTCTTTTTCTGTGAAAATATCCCTCCACACTAAGACACAGAGTGGAATTTGAGGTTCTGAATCACATCCCAGGAGGCTTGGCTGTTGGCACCGCTGCAGCACGGGACATGCGCAGTGGATGCGATCGGGCCTGCGTGGGCGTGGGCGCCCGGGAGCTGCAGCCCCTCAGGCGGGTGTCAGTGCTGATCGGGGCTTTGCATTGCAGCCTGAGAGACACGCTGGTGAGTTACCTGGAGACCAAGGACTGCGAGGTCCCCGAGCTGGAGCAGTTTCCGGAGGAGATCCTGCTGTCCAGCTGCGTCCCCGTGTGGAAAGCGGCCGCGGCGCTGAAGCGGGGGCGCCAGGCCAGGTAGGCAAGCCGCCGCCCTGCAGGAGGCCAGGGAGCCCACACGGCAGGCTTGCAGCAGGAAGCCAGAGGCCCCACAGCTCCACCCAGCCGTGCCGCTGCCAGTCGTGGAAGTTCCAGCGCTGCGTGCGTGAGTGTGAGAAGCGGGGACTGTCACAGCCATGACTGCGGAAGGAGCGCGCCCAGGCCCAGCCTGTCCTCTGCAGCCACTCTGTCCTGGGACAGGCGGGGCAACTTGGCTTCCTCACTCATCCTGCCTCCTGCGTCTGCGTCCGCGCGCTTGGCTGGCAGGAAGAAGTGGTGCACATCGTCACCTTCCGGCCAGGGAGCTCTCCCCAGCAGCTCCTGCCAGCACCTGGCCGCTGGACCAGGGCTCCGGCTTCCCCACAGGAGGGGGCAGCGGGGCGCCGAAAACCTCGTGGTAGCTACAGGAAAAACTGTGGGTCACAAAAACTTTTCTTTTTAAATCTTCTAATTCCATTTTCTATCATTTTTTTTGGAAGTTCTTTCCTGTTAGCACAGGGTTGGGCAGCCAAGGCACCTTCCAGGGGTTTTGTTTTGAAATGGGCACTGGGCGGGCGGGACCTGCCCAGCAAGCAGCTTGGGCTGCCTGCCATGCGGCGTGCCCTGGGTTCCCATGGTTACCACCATGTTGGGTTCTGACCCCTTCTCAGGTTCTCAGTCCAGACTGGGAGGTTGGCCTTCGCTCCTGTCCTCACTGTCCTTCCAAAACCTCCCTTGGCACTGGGCACCTGCCCTGGGGCACATCCCTGCTGCCCCACGTGGGAGGTCCCAGGTCAGGGCCACCACTGCCACCCACATTCCAGCAATGTGAAACTGGGCCACTGAGTAGGAGCTCCAAGAATACAAAATGCTGGCTGAGAAGCCGCTAAGGGCGTGGGGGCAGGGCCTGAGCCTGCCAGCTGTGACCACAGACCTCTGCCTCCTGCCCTCTGGGACGGGGTCGTGCCCTTTGCCCTGGGGACTCCTGCGACACCTCGGAGCCGGAGTGCAGCTGGCCCTGGTCACCAGGTGGCACAGCATACCCCACTTCCTCAGGCTCGTACCCTGGCCGGCAGGGGAGCAGGTGCCAGTCTTGGGCTGTGGAGCCTTCATCCCCCTCTTGGTCTAGAACCTTTCAGGCCATGCTTCTAAAGCCTTAACTCAGAACACTGACAGGGTAGAAGCCATCGTCCTGGCCGTTGGCCTTGTAATAAACTTCCTCTTCCTGCCACATGGTTGTCTCTGGCACACAGGCATCACTTGGGCTCCTGGGATGTGGGCAGTTCCAGCACTGTAGCTCCGAGGCTGGCGTGGAGCATTGGGCAGCACCATCCCAGCCTCCGGGGTACAGCCCTGCCAGGCCCCACCACTGCCCCAGCCTCCGGGGTACAGCCCTGCCAGGCCCCACCACTGCCCCAGCCTCCGGGGTACAGCCCTGCCAGGCCCCACCACTGCCCCAGCCTCTGGGGTACAGCCCTGCCAGGCCCCACCACTGCCCCAGCCTCGGGGTACAGCCCTGCCAGGCCCCACCACTGCCCCAGCCTCCGGGTACAGCCCTGCCAGGCCCCACCACTGCCCCAGCCTCGGGGTACAGCCCTGCCAGGCCCCACCACTGCCCCAGCCTCTGGGGTACAGCCCTGCCAGGCCCCACCACTGCCCCAGCCTCAGGGCACAGCCCTGCCAGGCCCCACCACTGCCCCAGCCTCTGGGGTACAGCCCTGCCAGGCCCCACCACTGCCCCAGCCTCTGGGGTACAGCCCTGCCAGGCCCCACCACTGCCCCAGCCTCGGGGTACAGCCCTGCCAGGCCCCACCACTGCCCCAGCCTCTGGGGTACAGCCCTGCCAGGCCCCACCACTGCCCCAGCCTCAGGGCACAGCCCTGCCAAGCCCCACCACTGCCCCAACCTCGGGGCACAGCCCTGCCAAGCCCCACCACTGCCCCAGCCTCGGGGCACAGCCCTGGCAGGTCCCACCACTGCCCCAGCCTCGGGGCGCAGCCCTGCCAGGCCCCACCACTGCCCCAGCCTCGGGGCACAGCCCTGCCAGGTCCCACCAGCTGCAAACAGTACTGTTCCTTCCTTGGAAGCCCTCATGGCTGCCCCTTGCTAGACCTTGCAGGGTGGATGTGGGCGTGCAGCGTCCCCAGCTCCCTGGCCACATGCCCCGGGAGGCAGTGGATGTTGCCAGCATCAGTGTCCCTGCACGGGAGGCCCTGGTGGGCTGGGCAGCTGACCTGGCTGCTGGGGCATGTGGGGAGTAAACGGGGGATGGAAGACCTCTGTTGTTACTAGGCCTTTCAGCGAGATGAGCATAAATCAATGACGTCTCCCAAGGATCTTGCTGTGTGTGCTCTGGGCTGTAACTAAGCCACCCTCTGCCGGAGCCAGCGCACACCCCAGCACCTGCCCTGTGTCCAGGCAGACCGGTCCGGCCACCAGCAACCGGGGGTGCAGAGAGAAAACCCTGCCACACCTCCTCGCCCAAGGAAAAAGGCTTCCAGCTGTAGTTCGCCTGGAAATAAACCCCTCCATGCACTGCCTTCCCTCCCGCCTTCCTACTGTAGCACCCACCTAACCATCAAAACAGAACGTTACACACCGGTGACGGTCACCACAAACTAATTACAAGGCGAGGGGAGGCAATCAGCTGACCGACCGACAGCCCTAGCAGAGGGCGGCCCCGAACAGTGGCTTGCATGCAGGAGGCGCTGCGCCGTTCCTTGCCTGTCTCGGCTGGACAGCCTGTGCCGGTCTCCCCTCTGATCCGGCAGTCCAGATGACCAGGCTGGGGCCTTGGCAACATCTGTGAGATAACCGGCCTGGGACCTGAATCCCTGGGAACTGGGAACCATCCGCGCTGCGGGTCACGCAGGAGGCTAAGCACGAGTCACAAAAGGGACAAGTATTGCGGTTCTACACCACGAATGTTAGCAGCTGGGAAAGCAGCCCCTGCCTCTCCAGGCCTCTGCTGGGAGGGAGGAGAGACCCGCTATTCCCAAAAGGCCGCAGGAGCCGGCACCCTCGGCTGAGAGTGGGACTGCCGGATTCGAACCGGCGACCTGCTGTTTCGCAACGCCAACTCTCCGTGCTTGCTTCTCAGGAGGTGAGAGCCCCTAGGTGCTCTGCCGGGTGAGGTGGGGCTGGCCCCGGGGCGCACACCTGCTGCCCGGATCCTGGCCTGTCCGGCCGGGGGGCTCCGCACAAAGAGGCGACGCGGCTGGCGGCGCCATGGCAACGCGGCGCGCGCCTCCGGAAGTGACGCCACCGGAAGAGCGACCGCCGTCCCTCCATGGCCCCGAAGGCGCCGCAGCGGCCCCCGGAAGAGACGCTGTTGCTATGGAAGCGGTAGTGTGGCCGGGGGGCGCGGGGTGGTCCTCGGGCTCCCGTCGGGGCCGCCTCGACACGCCTGTCCTCCCCCAGGGAGCAAGCCCGGCTGCGGGCCCGCGTGGTGCAGCGGGACACGGAGGCATGGCAGCGGGAGCCCGGCTTCTCGGGGCTGCGCAGGGTCGGCGGCGTGGACGTGTCCTGCGTGAAAGGGGACAGCGTCCGCGCGTGTGCCTCCCTGGTAGTGCTGAGCTACCCCGAGCTGCAGGTGACCGGGCCCAGCGGACCCCACGCCGCCTCCTGGAGCACGCTGTCCCCGCCCTGGATGTCCCGGGGCTGGCCCCTCCGTCCCCTGGGGTGAGCTCGTTCTGTCCCTCGGGACCCCGTGCCTTCCCGGCCGTCCGGCTGTGGCACCCCTCCTGCGGGGTCCCGAGGAGGCCGCCCGCCGTGCTGGGGAGCCCAGAGAGGGCCTCTGGGGCAGCGCACCGCCGTGGGGCCTTCGCGCCCTGCACCCCGGGCCGGTGCGGCGGGGCATGGGTGACCCGGGCCCCTGGCCTTGCCCAAGTTCCGGGTGAGACCAGGCCCGGGGGTCGCCACAGGCAGGTCGGTCCCAGGTGGGTCGTGGTGTTGACGCCCACCCCCCACAGGCAGGGTGGGTTGTCTCGGTCCCATGGGTGAGGCAGAGCAGGGAGGCAGGGGTGGGTGGCTGAGGGCCGCCTGCCCACAGCACGCCCGATGACAGGTGCTGTACGAGGAAAGCCGCTTGGTCAGTCTGACGGCCCCCTATGTGTCCGGCTTCCTGGCCTTCCGGGAGGCGCCCTTCCTGGTGGACGCGGTGCAGCGGCTGCAGGAGAAGGCACCCGACCTCATGCCGCAGGCAGGTGCCTCGTCCCAGTGCAGGGGGAAGCCCCTCCAGGCTCTCTAGTCACCGTTACCCTGGGCCAGCCTGGTCTCCCGCGGGCAGCCAGCTCACTAGGACTCCCCTGTGGCCTACAGGTCCTTCTTGTGGATGGCAACGGGGTGTTGCATCACCAAGGTAACCCTGGGCAGGGAGGGTGCTGGGGCAGAGGGCACAGCTCCCACCGCCTGCCACCATCAGGACCCACGACGTCCCCCCCCGTCTGCTGCCTCGCTCCCGCTGCCCACCCAGAGCCTGCCAGTGAGGCCCTTGTCTGCCCTCACTGCCGCTGCCCACGCAGAGCCTGTCAGTGAGGTCCTTGTCTGTGACCCAGGCAGGACAACTGAGGTGCCCGAGTTAGCTGGTGCAGGCTTTGTTGCGCTTGTTTGAGGGGCAAGGCCCAACCGACAGAGCTGTTCACTGGCTCGCTCTCTGAACACACTGGCCTGGCCATGCCTCTAGGTCTCCCATGTGGGGCCCAGGAGCCCTGGGACTTCAGCCTGGGCCTGCATAAGCCGAAGTCAGGACTCCCACAGAGACCCCGGCCTGTGCATCCTCCCACACCTGGCTCTGGATCCCTGGGCTCCCGGGAGTCCCTCCCAGCCTCACCCTCTGCCCCTGGCAGGCTTTGGGGTGGCTTGTCACCTCGGCGTCCTTACGGATCTGCCGTGCGTTGGAGTGGCCAAGAAGCTCCTGCAGGTGGACGGCCTGGAAAATGATGCCCGACACAAGGAGCAGGTTTGCGGGGGAGGGAGGAGCTGCCTGGGCCCCTGGGCTGGGATCGGGGAGCACCCCTACGTGCTGCCGCCTTACCTGGGCCACTTGGCCACCTCAGCCCGGCTTTCCCATCCCCTAGATTCAGCTCCTGCGGGCCGGCGGACAGACCTTCCCGCTTATCGGAGGCTCTGGGTCCATCCTGGGAATGGTGAGTGGCCCTGTCGGAGGCTGCCCTGCTCCTGCCCTGCCCCAATGGCCATAAGTCCCTGCCCTGAACCAGCAGGTCCTCCCTGAGCCCCAGGCAGAGCTGCTGGCCATTAAGTCGTCCTGGCCCAGCCCGGGCCACCCACAGTGCTGTGACAGCACCTTTGTTCCACAGGCCCTGAGGAGCCATGACCACAGCACCAAGCCACTCTACGTGTCCGTGGGCCACCGGGTCAGCCTCGAGACAGCCGTGCGCCTCACCCACCTCTGCTGCCGCTTCCGGGTCCCAGAACCCGTGCGCCAGGTTCGGGCACCATGGGGTTGGGTCTGGCACTGGTCCCTGGCCACCTGCTCTTCCACGCTCCCACCAGCCTGCAGGGTCAGAGGACAGGGGACCCTAAGCCGAGGGTACCATGCTGGAGAGCTTGGCAGGGCAGCAGCAGGCCCCACAGTGGAAGTGGGCCGGGGCCGGGGCCTCATTCCCGTCCCACAGCCAGCCATGCCCACGCTCCACGCTGGGCCTCACAGCCTCTCTGAGCTCAGCTCGGGCCAGGGCAGCCCCCTCAGGGCAAGAGGGCGCTCTGGTCCTCTGGCCAGGAGGCCCTTGCACACTGGCAGGCTCAGTGCTAGGGCAGCCCATGTGGGGACGCCAGGACATGGGCACAGCTGGCACACAGCACCCAACCTCCCTTTGTGCCCCAAGGTCAGCCCTTGGCTGAAGATGAAGTCAGCCTGTGTGCCCAAGGAGACAGCACTCAATGTGCAATGTCAGGGCCCCGCAGGAGAGCCTAGAAGGAGCCTGATGAGCTATGAGCCAGCAGGGAGGTCCCAAGCACGTGGGAGTCAGTGCTGGTTGCCCTGGGCAGCAGCCACATGGAAGCAGTGGAGGCTACCCTGGGCCAGGCAAGGTCATGGGGAGCAGGCCTTCCACCATTCCAACCACAGCCTGTGCAGGGGCCGGGTGGGACCCACAGCCTGTGCAGGGGCGGGGCAGAGAGGCCAGGCGGGACCCACAGCCTGTGCAGGGGCCGGGTGGGACCCACAGCCTGTGCACGGGCCGGGCAGAGAGGCCAGGAGGGACCCACAGCCTGTGCGGGGCTCTCCTGACTCCAGCTGCAGTGTGTAGGGCGGCCTCCAGGGGGCAGCCGCAGCCCACTCCAGAGCAACACAGCCGGCCCTCCTGATGTACAGCTCAGCAGCCACCCTGGGCGAGTGGCCAGGCCTGTGGCGGGGTCTCCAGCCCACTTGGGTGGTCCCAGGGGCAAGCAGGACATGCCTCCTCTGAGCCTTCAGCCCTGATCTCCCTTGAAATAGCCTACAGGTGGGTGTCACCTGTGTGGAGCCACAGCTCCGGGTGCTGGTCCCACTGGCCCATGCCGTTCCTCTTGGGGTGCTTCCTCTGACTGTCCTGCTGCAGCCCCTAGTCTCCTGGGACAACGAGACGCCTGGGGTCTGTGTCTGCCTCCCTGAGCCGCACGCTGCTCCTGTCTGTGCCAAGGGACCGGGTGAGGGGGAGGAGACACTCGAGGGGCCGGGCCATGCTGCTCCTGTCTGTGCCCTGCTGCTGGCGATGGAGCAGACGGGACCAGGCGCGGGGGAGGAGACACCCAAGGGGCCCAGGCGAGGTCTCTGACAGAGGCCACAGTTGAAACTTTAGTCCTGAGTGATTGCTGCTGGACTGTCACCGTGGGAGGCTGTTCCCGGTGCTGCCCGGATGCCCACCTGGCCCAGCCCTTATTGTGGGCCTCGACCCTGAGCGTTATTAGGAAAGGGGTGCAAGGAGGAGGGCACACCATGGCTCAAAAGGGTAATCGTCTGCCTGCAAGTGCCAGCATCCCCTGTGGGCACTGGCTCAAGTCCCTGCTGCCCCATCCCCCGTGCAGCTGCCTGCTGATGACCTGGGAAGGTGGGCACTGGCTCAAGTCCCTGCTGCCCCATCCCCCGTGCAGCTGCCTGCTGATGACCTGGGAAGGTGGCAGAGAATGCTCAAGTGCTCGGGCACCTCCCTGCACATGGCAGACCTGGAGGAAGCTCCTGGCTCCTGGCTTCGGATCGTCCCAGCTCTGGCCATTGTGGCTATTTGGGGAGTGAACCAGTGGACAGGTCTTTCCATCTCTCCTCTCTGTAAATATGCCTTTCAAATAAAAAATAATAATAAATCCTTTTTTAAAATGGGGACAGGAAGAGAAGAGATTGAAAGACATCTTGCCTCTGCTGGTTCGCTCCCCAAGTGGCTGCAGTGGGCAGAGCTGGACCAGGGTGGAGGCCAGAACCAGAGCCCAGTGCATGACTCCCACGCAGGCGCAGGGCCCAAGCTCTGAGCCGGCCTCTGCCGCTCTCCAGGGATGCAGGGCCCAAGCCCTGAGCCAGCCTCTGCCACTTTCCATGGGACGCAGGGCCCAAGCTCTGGGCCGGCCTCTGCTGCTCTCCAGGGATGCAGGGCCCAAGCCCTGAGCCGGCCTCTGCTACTCTCCACGGGATGCAGGGCCCAAGCTCTGAGCCAGCCTCTGCTGCTCTCCACGGGATGCAGGGCCCAAGCTCTGAGCCAGCCTCTGCCGCTCTCCACGGGATGCAGGGCCCAAGCTCTGAGCCAGCCTCTGCCGCTCTCCACGGGATGCAGGGCCCAAGCCCTGAGCCGGCCTCTGCCGCTTTCAGGGCCCAAGCCCTGGGCCGGCCTCTGCCGCTTTCCACGGGACACAGGGCCCAAGCTCTGAGCCAGCCTCTGCCGCTCTCCACGGGACGCAGGGCCCAAGCCCTGAGCCAGCCTCTGCCGCTCTCCACGGGACGCAGGGCCCAAGCTCTGAGCCAGCCTCTGCCACTTTCAGGGCCCAAGCCCTGGGCCGGCCTCTGCCGCTCTCCAGGGACGCAGGGCCCAAGCCCTGGGCCGGCCTCTGCCACTCTGCCAGGTGTATCAGCGGGCTGGTCAGGCCGTGGAGCAGATGAGGCTCAGACACACAGCAGCTGAACCCTAGGACCGCTCTGGCCTGAGGGTCTTCATGGCCCCCGATGCCCTGACAGGGAGCTGTGAGGACTCGGCATGGGTTTAGGAGCAGGAGGGCGTGTCCTGAGGCCTCTGTGTGGGTCACCCAGTCCCTGCTGCTCCCCTGCAGGCTGACATCCGTTCCCGGGAACATGTCCGCAGGACCCTCGGGCTGCCCGTGCCTGGACAGCTGAGGTGAGTACCTAGGGGGCTGTTGGGGTCCGACCCTCCCAGCTGTGGTGAGAACGTGGGGCCTGGCAGGTTGCTGAGGAGACCCCAAGAGTGTTGGGGGGCAGTGGTGTGGCCCCAGGTTGGTGGGAAAGCCCTTGAGCACCCCTCACCTCCCCCCACGTACGCACAGGCCCTTGGGCCTTAGCCCGCATTCCCACAGGCCAGCTGGTCCCCTCTGGCCACTACCCCACAAGGTGCAGGGCATGCGCTCTGAGAAGGGCCCTGGGCTGGGGACTCGGACACACCCCAGCCTGCACGGAGGCTGGCGGCCTGAGGTCCCAGGGCTCCCGAGCCTGTGCACTCTGACCCGGAGCTGCTGCACCAGGGGCGGGCACTGAGCCCCAGTGGGCTGACAGATGGGTGGCCCTTCCAGGAGAACTGTCCCAGCACTGCCTTTCCCCGCTGTGTGGGGGCCTGCAGGGTGTCCCCTTGGTCTGGCCGTTTGGCCTGGGCCCCATGGACCAGGTCCATGGCGATGTGTGGAAACCAGCTGGCGAGGGGCTCCCCCGCTGGCTCTGGCAGTGACGTGCCCCCTTTGCAGTGTCATGACCAGGGCCCAGGAGGTGCCTAGGCCCAGCAGCAGCTCCACAGAGCCTGAGGGTGAGGGTGACCCCCTGAGGACCACAGCCGAAGTGCCAGGACAGACCTGAAACCCCGCTCCAGGACGATGCCACGAGGACAGGGACTGCCCCGGGACGGTCGCCATGGGCCACGGGGACTCACCTCCATCACTGCAGGAGGGGCAGCGGCCTCCAAAGACGCCGAGCACTACACCCCTGGGTGTGCAGCCCGCTCCAGGCCAGCCAGGCTGGGGCCAACAGCACAAGGAGGCTCGGGGTGCAGTGGCCCGGCGGGCCCAGCTGCCTAGCTTCAGGATGGCCTTGGCCCTCACCCAAGGAGCTCAGAGTTCTGGGGTGCCAGAAAACTGCCTCTGCTCTTGGATTTCTGCTTGTCTCTTCTCTTTATTGGGGTACATTATAAAGGCGGACCACCGCTCCAGCCACATGGAGCCAGCTGTGCAGCTGTGAGGGCCAGCTGGGCCCCTCCTGCTCCCAGACCGGTGAGCCTCACCCTGGGGCAGCTTGGCCCCAGCCTGCTGCCGTCCAAGACTTCAGGCTGCACATGCCTGGCCTCCTGCCTGCCCTCAGGACTGCGGGGGAATCGGGGGCCCTGGGAGCACAAGCTGCTGCTGGGCAGGGCTGCTGGGCAGGGCTGCTGTGGTCTGACCGTTCTCGCCCGCCGGTCTCGGTGTGGCGCAGAGCCTCAGGCAGCTCCCATGCACTGGCCAGAGCTGACACTTGGCAGGGCGGGACTGGGCCCTGGCCAGCAGAGACCCCGGTGAGGGGTGGCTTCCCTGAGCTGAGGCCCAGTGGGGTGGGACCGGGTGCTGGGCAACAGAGACCTTGGGAAGGGACAGCTGGCACACCAGGGCAGGGCCAGCTCTAAGGAGAAGGGCTGCCGGGCTCCGGCACTGGCCCCGCAGGCTGGCTTGGCCCTGCTGCTCTCGCTGCTCAGTGCCCAGTCCTGCAGGAGAGCTCAGAGTTCTGGGGTGCCCCTTGCCGGTTGCGGTCACACATGTGTCCTCCTGGGGTCTTACAGGGTTCTGGAAGGGCAGACAGCACAGCGCATGCCCCCCGCTGTGTCACGTGCTGGCCATGGCATGTGAGGCAGGTAAAGTCAGAGTGGGCAGGAGTCGACTCCCTAGGAAGCCACTGTGCACTCCCAGGGTGGCCGAGACTTGCTCGGACCCTGCCCGGGACTTGCCCCTTCCTCTCTTCAAGGCCCTCTCGCCTCTTCACCCCACACCCACCCACCACACTTGGGCCCCATTCCTCAGCCTGTGAGTGCCCGGCTGGCTGGCTGACCGCACCCTGTGCCTGGCTGTGTCCCCTGGCCTGTGTCAGGTGCTGTGGGCTCGTTCTGCAGAGCTGTAGGTGGCACGGGGCCCTCTGCAGGTGCACGTGGACTGTAGGTCCGGCGCCCCTGCCAGCAGAGCACCGTGGCCCTGGTGGGCGCAGTGAGAGCCTCCCCGGGTCTTGCCACTCACGCAGGCCTTCCACTTGTTGCAGCGAGGATTGGGGTCGGTCAGGTTGGCTGCGTGTTGTACCCTTTCTGATGTGCTATAAACACATCGTGTCTCAGGTTATTCACTGCAAGTGTCTAGAAATACAATGTGTACTTTTTTTTTGTTTTTTAAAGATTTATTTATTTTTATTGGAAAGGTAGATATACAGAGAGGAGGAGAGACAGAGAGGAAGATCTTCCATCTGATGATTCACTCCCCAAGTGGAGCTGGAGCTGAGCCAATCCAAAGCCAGGAACTTCTTCCAGGTCTCCCACGTGGGTGCAGGGTCCCAAAGCTCTGGGCCGTCCTCTGCTGCTCTCCCAGGTGCATCGGCTGGGAGCTGCATCAGAAGTGGAGCAGCAGGGACATGAACCAGCGCCTGTGTGGATGCTGTTGCTGCGGCTAGCGACTTTACATGCTGCCCTGTGGCTCACCCTTCCCTCTCAGCCTTGCTGTGCCCGTGTGGCTGTGGGTACTGACAGTTGTCAGTGTGGGATCCTGTCCCCGTGGGATCCTGTCCCTGTGGGATCCTGGTCGTGTGTGGGATCCTGTCCCCGTGGGATCCTGGCTGTGTGGGATCCTGTCCCTGTGGGATCCTGTCCTGTGCAAACACAGATGCTTTGAGCTTCACCTTTGCCTTTCTGATCCAAATGCCTGCACCTTTTTCTTTCTGTGGCACTTGGCTGTGCCCCAGGGCTGCGCTGACATCCTGTGCCCTGAGTGGGGGAGAGAGCTACCCCAATACTGTCCCCGCCAGCTCTGCTGCTGCACAGCCCACCCACTCCCTTCCGGCTCAGGGTCTGGAGCTGCTCTTACAGTCTCACTGACCCTGCAGATCCCTGCCCAGGGCATCCCGGCTCCCAGCCACGACTCAGAGCTCAGACCTGGTCCCCACCTCCCCTCTCCAGCAGCTGCCATCACTCCCCCCAGGTACCCCCCCCAGGTACCAGGGTGCGTGTGACGAGCTAGTGGGGGCAGAGCTCAGGCAGGAGACACAGGCTCAGCTATCACTTTTAGACTAGGCGGGATCAGGTGACCCTGCCCAGAGCCCCTCCGCCGGGCGGGGGTCGTCTGTGTCTGCAGAAGCTGGGGGCGGGACCACTGCTTCCTGCCTCCCTGTCACAGGTAGCGGCTCCAGGCTGTCAGGACCCCCACCTGCTCCCTGGGGCCGAGTGCAGTGAGTCTTGGCTCCTTCCCACAGAGCCATAAAAATAGGGCTGGTGACGTCTGCCAGTGCAGACCACAGCCTGCACCCCAAGCTAAGAATACGCCTGACCCTCTCAATAATTCAACTTGAACTTAAATAGCTCCACAGACTCACCTGTTGCTGTCATAGCGGCCCCAGGAAGAAGATGGTCCAGCCCCTGGGCCTCTCCCAGGACCCCTAGGGAGGAACCGGGCTCTCCACTGCTCCTCGTGGGAGCTGTAGAACGAAGTGGGACACCCAAGGTGGACTATGGGCCCAGCTGTTGTCCAGGATGCCTTGGTGTCCTGCCCAGAGGGAACTCTGAAGGACCTGGCCACGGGCATAAGGTCGTGGGGCACTGAGGTACCTAGACACAGGTGGGTGTGCATGCCAGCTGCCCGTGAGCCTCCCCCATTGGGCCAGCAGCCCGTGAGCCTCCCCATTGGGCCAGCAGTCCATGAGCCTCATCCATTGGGCCAGCTGCCCCATCGTCCATGGGGCTGTGAGGCCCTGTGTCCACAGAGGAAGCCGTGGCTTTCCTGCAGGGTCCCTGCCAATCCCATCAAGCCCCAGCGGAGCAGCGGGAGGGGGCTCCCAGCAGCCCTGGGTGGGGAATGAGTCCTGGCTGCAGCCCCCCCCCTGCAGTGCCGGTGCAGATTTTCCCCAAATTATTAATTGAAGGCAAAGGCACGCGGCAGCGCTGACAGCCAGACAAATGGCACACAGGGTAATTAGGCGCGTGTCGGCGAGTGATGGAGCGCAGGCCGCTGTCCCCGAGTCACCTCCCGGGAAGCTGGGCGCCTTCTGCCCGCCCCACAGCGTGGGCGGCCGTGGGTGTCTGGAGAGGGCAAGAGTGCCTCAGGGACAACCCTTGGCTGGTCCTGCTGGTAGCCCCCATCCCACGGGGGCATGAGGGGCAGTGGGGGAGCCACAGGGGAGGGGTACCTGGAGGGGAAGCCCGCAGCGCCCCTTCCCGGCTGGGAGCAGCAGGTGCAGGTGAGCCCGGCCCCTCCCAGCTCCCCTGGTGCAGCGGCTTCCTGGGGCGCCGCTGGCTTTCTCCGCAGGTTCACACACTGTCTACTTCCTCCGGACACGGAAAGGGCTCACACACCTGGCCCACGTGTGTGCACACACACACACAGGCTCCCCCTCCCCCAGCCTCTCACTACGGTTGAATCAGACTTCACCGTGTTCGTTGTTAGCTTCTGATCACACCCCTGTTCTCCCGTAGCTGCCTCCTCTTTGTGGACGCTGGGCCGGCCAGGCTTAGTGTGCTGTCTGCCTGGGTTCCTGATGTGCTGCTCAGTGTAGCTGGGGACCACGGCAAGGGCGGAGCTTGTGTCCCCCAACCCACCCCCATGCCCCGGTGTGGCACAGCTGCTCAGAGAAGGGGTCCGGTGCTGAGGACACAGCCTCCAGCGACCAACATTCCCTGCTGTGGCCTCCAGAGACCTGTGACCGCAGCCCGCGAGGCCCCGAGCCATCGGCCGGTCCGCGTCCAGACCCCTTCCTCCAGAGACCGGGCAGACTAGCCCAGCCAGCCTCACAAGAGCCTGTACACTTGCCACCCCTTCCCCGGGAGTCTCCCCTCCTCTGGGGTCCCCTGCACGCCTCCCCTGTTCCAGAGTCCAGACAGTAACCATCACTGCCAGAGGAAAGAACCGGCAAAGTGGGGATTTTAATTTTTTTTAACCACCCACAAAAGTTTTCGTGTTGGTGTTTTTCCAGTTTCCAAGATGCACAGACAGCTTAAGCTTAGCTGACATGACTGGGACCGCAGTTCCCCTGGGGGGGGGTCCCCAAGTTCCTCCTCTGGGGCTTCAGGGTGCTGGGCCTTGGTCTGCCACTTGGTGCTGAGGCCATGGCTGGCGAGGCCTCAGCCTGGGGTTCGGGGGTCCCAGGGCGGGAAAGGGAAGCTTTCCTCGAGGTTCAGCCTGCATCCTGCACTCAGCACGAGGGAAACCCCGGGCAGACGCCAGCCTCCCCTGCTCTGGGTGTGCTGGGGGACCCTGGGCAGATGCCAGCCTCCCCTGCTCTGAGTGTGCTGGGGGACCCCGGGCAGACACCAGCGTCCCTGCTCTGGGTGTGCTGGGGGACCCCGGGCAGACACCAGCGTCCCCTGCTCTGGGTGTGTTGGGGGACCCCGGGCAGACACCAGCGTCCCCTGCTCTGGGTGTGCTGGGGGACCCCGGGCAGACGCCAGCATCTGTGCTCTGGGTGTGCTGGGGGACCCCGGGCAGACACCAGCATCTGTGCTCTGGGTGTGCTGGGGGACCCCGGGCAGACGCCAGCGTCCCCTGCTCTGGGTGTGCTGGGGGACCCCGGGCAGACGCCAGCATCCCCTGCTCTGGGTGTGCTGGGGGACCCCGGGCAGACACCAGCGTCCCTGCTCCTTGGGTGCTGGGGGATCCCGGGCAGACACCAGCATCTGTGCTCTGGGGGTGCTGGGGGACCCCGGGCAGACACCAGCATCTGTGCTCTGGGGGCGCTGGGGGACCCCGGGCAGACACCAGCCTCCCCTGCTCTGGGGACAGGCATCCGTCCTCCTGGGAGCCTCTGCAGGTGTGCACCTCCGACGGCAGCGTGCAGAGCTGGCTTCTCAGGACCTCTCTCGG